AGATTGAATCTTGTCTAGTCGGACGCGTGACGACTTGCTTAAGGTTGTGACTTGTAACTAAATCCTGTATATTGAGACGATTAAAATCGCCTAAAACGACTATGCCACAATCAGGGTATTTAGAGCGTATAGTATCAATAGAGGACACAAGGTAATCGCAAAGTTCCCTCTGTTCTTGCACACTTTTGTCCGGTGGATTATACACTACACATACTGCAATTGCAGATAGCGGTCTCGGTAGGCGTGGTGGTCGAGCCCACAACCACATACACTCTAGATTTAAATCTTCTAATTCCAAGTATCGCGTAATGGATATCTGCTGAGACACATAAACGCAAACCCCACCCCCACGGCCATGTGTCCGGTCCTTACGATGAATTACATAACCACCAATCGATATTTGATCGTCCCCTATCTCATCAGTCAACCAAGACTCCGTAATTGCGGCTATATGAACTTTGTTGACGGACATAAATGCTGCAAGTTCATCAACCTTTCCATTAATTGAGCGTGCGTTCAAGCAGCAAATTCTCGGGAGTATAGCTTTATTTTGTTTTTTGTTTTTTTCATTATAATTATTTGTGCATCTAATTCCGATCTGTTAGATTGTTATAATTGACACCTTGCGTTTCTCTACGCCTTCTTTGCCTCATACGGCAACCAAAATTACGTGACGAAACTCTGACTTCTATTTGCTCCATTATACATAAGTTGAGAACTTCCCGTTATGGGTAATATTAGATCTAATTTCTCCTTTTGATTGCCAAATCTTGCAGTTGACAAACTGAGGCCAGATATTTTGTTGTTGCACTAACGAACAATCGGCCGAACGAAAATGGATTTTAGCCGATGTCGTACCTTTTCTTTTGCTTGGAAAAACGGAAATATATGTAGGTGTTATATTCCGTTGTTTCAGATAGGAAACAATTTGACATTCTTTTACGTTTTCAGCTATCCCGCTTAACAGGAATTTCTTAACTCTGTTACGTCTCCGGTCAACACCAATAAACCCGTCAGCAAAGTCACTAGATGGATCATTGATTATTTGCAGAGAATTGTTTTGGGATTTGTTGGTAGGAGATTTTTCAAGTGTGTTGCAGGTATTAAATGCAGGGCTAGATGTCACTACCTCCGCAAAAGTGGCTTGATTGTTGTTTCTTACTTGTTTATTATCGTATTTAATAGAGGTTGCAACTTCTGCTGACACAATGGGATTATTACCATGCTTATGCTTTAGATTGTCATTATCAGTTTCAATGAGGTTTAATGGGTTTACCAGGATAACAGGGTCATTAGTCTCGCCCTCTTTAATGGGTTTACCAGGTTTAATGGGTTTAATGGGTTTACCAGGATAACAGGGTCATTAGTCTCGCCATAAAGATAAAAATAAAATAAACCTGGTTTACTTCTTAAGAGTTA